ATATCATCTGTCAGTCTCAAACTCCCAACAACTTCTGGGACAAATGAATCCTATGCATAAAAAAGATTATAATAATTAAATGTAAAAAATACTGATCAATTCTCGAATAAAAGAAATGAACTTATTTTCAAGTGTAGACATAAGAGCAAATTGCAAATTCTCTAAAATCATTGACTTTGAGGTCTATACACTTGAAGTGCTGATTTTGATTTTTATATGGGTACAAACATATGTATGTTCATGTATTCATATGAATGTGTATATGTAGTTATATTGCTTGTCACACATTTTTATATATAGTTCTGTAGATATATTTAATTATTTATGTGATTGTCTTGCTGATGCCAACATCATTTATAATTTTTTATTTAAGAATTTATATTTTTATATTTTACTATTATTAATAGTATTATCTTTGTTATTTTTATCCTTATCAATGTATATATTCTAAATTTGTTCTTTATATTTATCAAAATTTATTAGTTCTATTTATTTATTTGTTTGTTTATTTAATCATATTATTTAATTATATTATTTATGTTGTATACTATTATTATTATTATCATTATTTTAAAATGATGATGACTGTATTATGTGATGATAATTGCCATCTAAAATGACATGACTTTATTAGACAAATTATTGTAACTCTTTTACTTCCGACCCCCTCTTCATTCTCTTACCTTATTTTTACTATTGGCTCATCATTTATTTCTTCCTTTTTTTCCGTTCTTTTCTTTCACTCTCTCTCTCTCCCCCTCTCTCTCTTTTTTTCTTCTTTTAATTTTTCAAAAAAAATTATATTTATATTTTTTCTTTTTTCTTTCTCCCCTTTTTTATTATTAATATTTTTCCTTTTTTCCCTTTATTTCTCTCTCTCTCACTCGTTTTTTTTCACTTTCTCCTTTTTATCCTGGTATATATGTCTGGATGAATTGATTCCATTTCTTAAAAACTTTTGGTCTGAAGAATTGAATATAACAATATTCATGAAATAAATTATAACAAATATGGATCTTTAAGGTGTTTTCTTAATTTATTATTATATATTATACCAATTACAAATTGGTATTGTTTTTTATATATATATATATATATATATATATATATATATATATATATATGTTCTCAGGGTATATCTGTAGAAAAGATAAATTGAATAAAATAGACAAATAGAAGCGTCTTTTATAATTTTTGAATTTAACTTTTGTTTATCATCACTTGCCTTGATAAATTGGATGACAAAACATGCCAACAAAAAACTAAGTACTGTTTTCCTATTTTATTTTACTTTGTCTTTTCTACAGATATATTCTGAGAACTTTTACACATTGTTGACATGGAAAAGAAAAATGCACACTTAGTCAAAAAAAAAAAAGTAAAAAGTTACGAAAATACAAAAAAGATACTTTCACAGGGGGTCTTTTAATATTTTTGAATTTTGAGTAACTATACAACATTTCATTTTTTATTGAGTTTTTCTTGTATTCTTAAATTTTTCCAGTTGGTGTAAGGGAGTGTAAAAATTGTCTGTAGTGTCTATTATCCCAAGCACTTTCAGTCACTTCTTTAGTCATTTTTAAGAGTTTTGTTGTTAATTACTTTTCAGAGACATCTTTAATTGTGTGATGCATGTTGTATGATACTAGCATTTATTCTGTTCACCACAAAGGGAACATAGTTGGAATTCAAATTGGTGTACTTCTACAGGGTGCTCCACAAAAAAACAGGAAATTTGGTACGGTTTGCTTAACTGAAACAAAAGTAAAAGATAGAAATTTAGTAGATTAAGACAGAATAAAAACACAAATGTGAGATGTGGTGTTCAAACTAAAAAAAGTTATTTTTTTTTATGTCATATATTAAATCTAAACTTTCCAGTTTTTTTTTTTGGGGGGGCACCTGGTATTTGAAAAAAAACATTTAACCTATTGTTTCTCTTTTATATATATATATATATATATATACATACACTCTACACACAAATCACCAATCTGCCATTGAGTGGCATGTCACTAGTGTTTACCACTGGTGGCCTGCTGTCGGACTGCTGGCATGTTTGTCTCGGCAGTGTTACCACTGGCGGACCGCTAGAGGCCCATCAGTGACAAGCTGGTGCCTGCCACCAGAGGACCACTGGCGTTGCCATCAAGCAACCCACCAACAGGCCACTAGTGGCTTGCGTGTAGGTATATATATATATATATATATATATATATATTATTGCGATATATATATATATATATATATATATATATATATATATATATATATATATATATATATATATATACATATAAGCCACTAGTGGCCTGTTGGTGGGATAACTTGAACATCTAATCTTATTTGTTGCTATATATATATATATATATATATATATATTATTTATTGCGATATATATATATATATATATATATATATATATATATAACAAATAATATATATATATATATATTTGTTTATTTGTATATATATATATATATATATATATATATATATATATATATATATATAAAACAAATAAGATTAGATGTTCAAGTTATCCATTTCGACTTTGAGATTTTCAGAAGTAGTATCCACTCATTAGTGTGCCTGATGGTAAAACTGAATTTACAGAATTCATATTTAAAAGCAAAAAAATAGCTTCAATAAATAAATTCAATGCTACTATCAAGCATCCATCCTTATGAGTGGATATTATATCAGCAAAACTCTGATCAGGAACAGATAAGTTTAACATTTAATATCATTTGTTCCTATTAATACTCTATCTGCTGATTGGGAACACTTTAATTATAAAGACTGCTTACCTTCATGTTTTATTCCAGAAATGCCCTGGTCAACTTTTCAATCTTTGTTATTGCTATTACATACACTAAGAATTCAAACAGTGAGCTCTATCTAATTTTTATTATTTTCCAATTTTTTTATAAGTTATTGCCGATCTGGATCCAAAATTCTCAAATTTATTATGCAAAAGAAACAACTCACATTAAATAAAATATATTTTTCCACAAGGGATGGCATTTTAAAATATCTATAAATTAATTAATAATATATTTGTCTTTTGGTGCCATCAATCTTTTCCACACAACATCACCAATATCATACATATATATTTAAATTTGCAGTATTGCATTACAAGAAAATGTCAGGATGAAGCCAATGAAACATTTCTCTATCTTTCTGGCATTACGTTCCAGATAGACAATGAAAATACTTTAGACATTTTCTCTACAAATTGGATCTGGATGTGCAACAACTTATTCATAAATTAGAAAAATATAATAAAAATTAACCATACAGATGTCCCTGGCTGAATTTAATAAAACTTGCTGCCTAAATATACACAATATATATATATATATAGTTTATGCAAAACTAGGTAATCCGTATGGGTAGACCCAAGGAGGATGATATCCGGAGAGCTCAATGTAAATTCAGAGCAAATATGTTTGAAAAAAAACAGACCACTTTAAGGTTCCATGTAATAAATTATTTCACCACAGCCCTTTTAAAGGGCTCTGGATCAAAAAAAGATTTTCAACCTTTGGAAGTAAAGTCTGATGATCCAGAGCCCTGAAAAAGGCTGTGGTAAAATAATTTATTACATGGAACCATAAAAATCTGTCTTTTTTAAAAATATATATATATATATATATATATATATATATATATATATTATTTTAGAATATTCCCTTTCTGACCATGAGACTCAGGTTCGAATCTCACCATGGTTGATTTGTCAGGAAGTAGATTTCCTGATGTTATCGATCTGGAAGGGATGATCCCAGCATGCAGTACTTTTGAAAAGTGCCTGAAAACTAAGCCACAAGTTGACCCAATCATTGTGAATGAAATTGGGTAGACGGTACACTTGGGGGCCATCAACAGCTGTGCTAGCACAAAGTCACAAGTCACCATGACTGAGGGTTTGAATGTGCTGACCTTGTTCAGATTGTTGATTACACTAGATAACACTCTATCTCCCAGAAACTATAACTAAGGTGTGCTCAGCATTGTTGCTGTATAAACCACAGGTTGGCTCCGTGGGTGTTGAACAAACACAAATGTGCCTGAGCAAGAGTCCGCAATAGGGATTGGCTAGCCACCCTAATAAATGGATATCCTCGAATATGATTGGCCAACTGTTATATATATATATTATTAAGAATGCATAATACCCTGAAAACAATGACCAGTACCTGAAGATTGCATTAGGCATGAAACTGAGTCATACTGTCAATGTGGGATATTATATATATTTATTAAAAAATATTTAATAGCTCTGTTATTTAGCATTGAGCACTCTTTTTCTTACACTAATGGATAATTGTATGTATTTGTATGTGAACACTTACATGTACATTTATTTATATTTATTCATTTGATTATAAATGGACATTTATGGAAATTTATGATAAACAGTATTAAATAACATTTACTGGCCTGAATGTCCGATATTTTTTTTCAAAGAACGAATATTTCATGAAAATTTCTCGGACATTCACATTTTTTTTAAATGTTATTTAATACTTTTATCATAAACAAACATTTGCTTAAATACTTGTATCTATAAAATAACAACGTTAAACATAAAAAATGTCTTTAATAAATAAATTGTCGGACCTTGTCCATTTCTTAACATATGACGTCATTTGTTTACATTCGATACGCCAGAGCAGTTATGAATGTACGAGATTCATGGAAGATTGGAGTTTATAAGCAGTACTGTAAATTCGACCTTGTCTACCGATTGGTTCTTTGTAGCCTAGAGGTAAGGCACGTCAGCGTATATGACGGTTTATATATAGGATGCAGGTTCGAATCCTGTCAAAGAACGAATATTTTCTATGAAAATTTCTCGGACATTCAGGCCGGTAAATGTTATTTAATACTGTTTATCATAAACAGATCATTTGCTTAAATACTTGTATATAAAATAACAACGTTAAACATAAAAATGTCTTTAATATATATATATATATATATTTAATGCTTATGGCCACATCATGCTGAAACACCAGTTCTCATATGATTACAAAACTTAAGCAATGTTGAGCCTGCTCAGTACCTAGATGGGTGACTGCCTGGGATTACCAGGTACTGTAAGCTTTGATTTGTGGCGGGTGGAATGGATAATAGCTTGTAATTATTAATCATGAAGGACCAACGATATTTTAACTTCATTTTTTACATATTGCTGACCATTTTCTTAATTTCCAGTTAATATTTAAATCCAAATTGGGACAATTTTAGCTTTCATAAGCTGTTATCAAAGAGATTTTATTTTTTGTGCTGTTTCATCATTTTCAAATATTACATTTTTTGTGTCTTCATGTAACAACTTGTTTAAATGAAAAACTGATGCACAAATGCACCCATTTTATATATATATATATATATATATATATATATATTTTAACTAATATATGGATATAGATCCGACAGTATGAAGAAAAATATACGGAAAAACAAACAAAAATATTTATATGCAATTATGCTTTTTTTAAATGTTAATATAATGTCAACGTCGGACGTTTTTGGTCTAATAAACAGCGTCGCCCACGTGACGACAACGTGACCATGTTTAAACGGAACACTGATCTTATAAAACTTTCAGTTATCTGTTTGGATAAGTCTTGTTCTTATGTCCATCGTCTTTGTCATGTTGAATTGATATTGTTAATTATATTTTATGAATATGGTTTATTAGACCGAAACATCTGACGTTGACATTATATTAACATTTAAAACAGCATAATTGCATATAAGGATTTTATTTTTTTTTCCGTATATTTTTCTTCATATATATATATATATATATATATATATATATATATATATATAGGATTAATTTTTTTTAAAACTTTTCACCTCAAACAAGGCAGGAGTACCACTAGCATGCAAGGGGTTACAGAGAGTGGGAGCAAGAGTAAAAAGTCATGAAAGAGGATGACGAGAAGGACAGGGAATAGATCAAGGCATCTGGAGATATTGATTGACATTGCATTAAGCAAGTAAGAGGAAGAGAGTTCCACAGATGGGAAGTGTGAGACATGAAGCTATTGGAGTAGAAGACATAGCTGCATTTAACTGTTTCGACAATTAAAGGGCAGGAAAATTTGTAATTTCGCTAATTGATGTTATATCCAGCACCCTATATTAAACTGACCTTTTGTCTCATCCTGTTAGCATGGAGCAGCAAGAAAATACAATCACTTTGTGACCTTTTGGTTAAGATCAAAGTGTAGTATCTTTCTCTCCACATCTATTATCCCTTCTTTCTTTTTTCATTTGCTCACTGAAACCAAATTGTGTCTTTTCCCTTCTTTGCATGCAATCAGAACTAAATAAACCATTATTTATGAGGTATTGGCAGGACGTAATAGTCGTGCTAACTAATGAAGGGAGTGACAAGTAAAATTATAAGAGGATGACATTATAAAATTATATGATTAGAATTATTCTAATTTTGTTCTAATTCATATACTAGATTCAATTAAAATTTATTTATTCATTTAAATTTTGTTTGTTCATTTATAAAATTGATGTATTTTTTTTACTTTGGCTTTGAAAATGTGTGAAATATATGATGTGGCAACTGGGCAGAGATTTTAATTCGACATGAAGGAGTCACAAAAACTGCAGTTAAATCAATGACAATTCATGAGTCCATCAAATTCAGTGAATTGAATCAGGAACTTTTCCCATAACAATAAATCATAGGTAATTGCCAAGAACCAAAATTACTGGTGATTATTTTCCTGATTAGTAACTTTCTTAAACTCTGAATCACATGGCTGAAAATAGATAAAGATCTTTAACACTCTGCCTATCAACATTTCCAAAGATGCTGATAGAGAAAACAGATACTAACACAAAATAGAAGATATAATTGATCTTTTTATATGAAAATACTGACATGTCATGAAACAAAACAATAATTTTGACCTGAATTGTTGAGATGTTCTTTTGATAATGTTATGTTACTATTATATCTTGACTTTTTTTCTCACCAAGTTTTATTAACATAAAGATATGGAAAATAGTTTGGAAGAATCAGTAGATAGTAACCTGTATCAGAAATTCAGACAGTAACTGTAGTTTCGTTTTCTGAGACATCAGAACATCAGAGCCAGAATATTACAAGAATGTATCATGAAACCATGTTTTATTATGTATCATGATACAAAAAGTATCATGTATTAATATAGAGGAATTTTTTTTTGTTGTTACACTATTCTTCACTCAAGACAAGGTGCAAGATCTACTGAAGATAGAGGATTACAGAATGGTGTGTGTGATATGAATGTAAGAGGAGGTGGTAAGAAGTGAAAATTATGAAGATATGGAGGATGGACAGCACTTAAAACTAGTAAAGAAGTATTAGACTTATTATAATTATTTTATACACATTTTAAAATACCATTTTTTTACAATGAAAGATATTTTATTTAATTCTGGTTGTTTCTTTTGTATACTAATGGCTATTTTAGTATTTTTTATAGTATGTAGTTTTTGATCACAATGAGATAGTTGAAATTACTTGAACAGAAACATGATCTTTTGACATTTTTTTCCACAAGTTTTATCCAGCTCTACAATAACTTTTCTTACATTATTAGTCACACAGTGAGAGACACTTAAGTAGAGTTTTACGGTATGAGATTGTTTTATGGACAAATGTAGCATAGATAACATTTGACACCAGAAAGGATTAAAATTGTATTCATCAGGGAAACATTCTCTCTAGTGTCTTTTACTCAACATAACAGTTCTGAGAGAGAAACTGTTCAAATGGGACCTGGAATTTTAAGAGATTAAGGATAATTTGCCCATTGTGTACATGACATGGCAAATCTTATCTGTGAAGGTCTGAACTGGTGCAACTACAGAATGTAGCTTGTCTGAACATTTCTTATGGTAGAGTAGTGAGAGGCTTGCATTATTTTGTCTATATTTCTGAGATGAGGTATTATGTACACTATTTACATTATTCGGCCTATTGTCCTCATCTTTGTTACCATATTTATCACAACATTTCATCTGTTGTATGCTCCAGTCTTCTTCAGGTGGTTGGAATGTTGAACTGAACCATTTATTTTGCTCGCTGGGGTAGACGGTTCTAGTTCCATGTGTCATGTCTAATGGAAGTCAGTTATCAGTTATCTCCTGTTAATTCACCTCTCCAGGTTCTCCACTGTCTTAATCAGGTATTGAACTCACAACTCTTTGGGTCCTGTCACTGGATCTTTATCCACTGTGCCATGTGTCCTTAAGTCTACCCCAGCAAGCAAAATAAAGGGTTCAGTTTAACATTCCAACCACCTGAAGAAGGCGAGGGCATACAACAGCCAAAACATTGTGAAAAATATGGCAACAAAGATGAGGACAATAGTCTGAATAATGTAAATAGTGTTGCATTATTTTTCTATGAGAAAGAGTTTATAGGGTGGGAAATAATTCTTCACCCACAAGGCATTTGAACTCTTTTCAAGGCTGAAAAGAGAGGCCTGAGAAGCTCCAGCCCAGATATTGAAAGCAATATGGCACAATATTTTATATAATGCCTTTGATATAACAACATATTTGGTATTATGATATGATAATGTACCATGTGTCAAGGATAGGAATAACACAAGTTTTACCTAAAGCTAGCATTATCATTCTTGTAATTTCACCCAGCTGAAGTATCAAAACTTTCAGAAATGCCAGATAAGCATGAAATAGGTGTATAAAGAACAGGGCTAACCCTTTCCAAGGAGAAAATTCATAGTAACAGATCAATAAAACAAACCAAATATATGGCAGTCTACAATATTGTAATTATGACAAAACCCTTTACTTCTAACATCTAATAACCTGCTGTGTATTAGTTTGAGTCATAAATAATTTCAGTTTTATTTTTTCAACTTTATTCTCTAAAATATGAATTACAGTTAAATTTTATACAATTATATATTCACCATTATTTGTAGTGACTGGTTAATATTTCTCAGGCAAATCTCTGATAACTTTTGAGCAAATTTGTGTAGATTTTGATGTGAAAAAAATCTTTTGACAAAATCTGACTTTCTCCATGAAAACATTTTGCAGTGATCAAAAAAAGGTAATATTTGGTGCAAGTTCAGCTGAATATAGAACAAACCAAACAAGTTCCAGAATTTCTTCCTATGTTATTCCAGCTGTATGCAGCTTTGTGCTGTAATAAAGGAGAACAACATTTTTTTCTTATTGATGAATACAGAGCACATTTCAACCAAACTTTTATGAGACACCTTGCAGCTGCTGGAAATATAAATGTACATTTTATTCATTTTAAGAATCCTAAATGAATAAAATCTGCATGATTCCATCATACACATTACCTTTCTTCCATGGAGCTCAGTCTTTGAGATTTAATCTTGTCTTTTCACTGCTTTTTGCATTAAATATATATATATATATATATATATATATATATATGAACTGAATCGACAGAGAATATGAAGATAGAAAGCTGGCACCTCAGAACCAGCTGCTTTGGGTAGATGGAGCTCAATTCCTCTATATATGTGTGTGTGTGTATTTAATATATATATATATATATATATATATATATATATATATATATATATATATATATATATAGAAGGCTCAAGCACTAATATTCCAACTCATCAGACCTACAAATTGGATTGTGATTACTATTCCAATGTAATAAATTAATACCATGGAATATTAGTGTTTGAGCCTTCTATATTATATTCTTGCTCTGTCCTGGACATTGAGCTCTACCTGGATTCTATCCTCTTGGAAATATATATATATATATATATATATATATATATATATATATATGATCATATCATGTTTAAACATCGCTTCTCTGATTATCAAAGTTAAGCAATGTTGAGCCTGGTCAGTACCTAGATGTCCATTTAATATTTCATTGCATTTTAAGAATCCTAAATGAATAATACCCGCATGATCCCACTATATATATACATACATACATACATATATATATATATATATATATATATATATGTACACACACACATATTAATCTGTTGTTGTCTGAAAAAGATGATATACTGTACTGTTAGTGTGTGACTGTGTTGAACACTG